GACTGGTAACAAGAAAATGCAACATATAGATAATGTGGGTGCTGAAGGAAATACCCTGATTCATTTCTTAAGCTAGGAATATAGAACTATCTCTTTTAGTATTATACTGCCCTGGGGACATGCTATAATAACATTTAATACTCTAATGTAGGAATAGAGGAGAGGAATGAAAATACCTGACTTAAAAAAAAAAAGGAAATACCTGACTTTTTGGTGTCCGAGTGTGTTAGGCAGTCCTTTCATTGGTAGGATCTTCTGTTGTGTTCTTTTCCTCTCCAAACTTACCTTATTTACTTACATCATTCTAATTGTCTCTCCCAAATTTTCTGTATGCTGTAGTTTCTGTGTTCATGACACATTTTAATTTTCCACGTATGTATCTGAAAAATGTGATTAGATAAGCATAAACCTCATGAACTGCAATTTGTATTTTTCCTAGAAAAGATAACTGAATCCTTGAGGTAATCAATTGCATTGGAATGGGAATCCAGAGACTTTCAACAAAAGGAGTTTGTAAGCCCATGACACTGGCTAAGCTGTTTATTCTGTCTGAGCTGCATTCCTGCATCTCTGAGAAGACTGCATGCAAGTTGTCTTTGAGAAGGGAGGATGTTAGAAGGCAACCTTTTTCTCCTGATTTAGAGGCAGCTGGCATCTAAACAACAGTCTTAGAATTCTGGAACAGGAAGGAATCTCAAAAAGTCTGAGTCCTTCAACCTTTGGGATAAACAAAAGCATTTTGATTTTCCTTATTATCATTACTAGCATGAATAAAAGCATTGACATTTTTGTGTAAGTATAGTATTGAAGACAATGAGGAAGTTGATTAAAAATCCTGTCTTCTCTCTGACTAGTTAAAAAAGGGCTATGCACTTAAATGCTGATTAGCACTGGACTTCTGTGGGGTACAGTGCTGGCAGTGACCTCGGAGGGGTGGATGGAGACCGAGGCACGCAGAGTGTGTACCCTCTGTGCATGCCTGCCCACTCCTGGCTTTTCTTGTTTTGTTTTTATTAGTACATTTGCAGTATATGCAGTACTGATTACATTCCTCTTGGGGAATTCATATTTTATTTATTTATTTCCTTTTCCTCTTCTCCTTCCCTGTCCCCTCATTTCTTGGTCACTTTTCCTTTTTTAAAAGATCTAAGTCCCTGTTTCCTGTTATTTGTGGTTTACTTTGCTCCATATTGTATCTTGACTTTCTGAGTTTTAAAGCACCAGATGGACCCAATAAAACATGCCTCCTAGTGGAAAAGAGTCATGATTGTGGTTGACAATGTCTGTTGAAAACAAATGTCTTTTGTAATATTGGGATATGTAGGTTTTAGATTTTACCAGTTTGGAAAATAAAATTCAATTAATGAAGATATATGTGAGCTATTTTTCTTAAGTATATTATGCTTCCAAGAGATTCACAGCAGAGAAGCAGGCAGAAAGAAAAAGGGAAAGGGGCTTTATTGTCTTGGACACAGAGAGAATCTGGGGAAGATAAGGAATTCTTTGGATTGGAACAAAGAGAGAATGAGGCTAGTATGGCCTTTTGCCAGGTGTGGAGTTTGAAGGGGATGTTTAGATATACCTGAGGAGCTGATTGGGGTCTTCCCTGAGGTGGTGGGAAAGGTGAAAGGAAATTGCACCCTGGGCTGAATTGGGAAAGAAGGGGGGAGGTGATATCTGGGAAGATAAACTGTTGTTTTAAGGGCTTCAGCCATATTAGATGACAACCATAATAATTCTGCAATTCATACTAGGGGCCATAACCTATCAGTAGGGGATTTGTTGGCTCTTCTGACAGGCCTTCCTTTCTGTCTACCTTAATCCTCTCCCATTTTCCTTAAAAATGTTTTTTTTCCCCTCAGAATTACCATTTTTTGCAAGCTTCTGTCTTAAAAGAATTTCAAAAGTTCATTTATTTTGAAGATTCTTCTTCCTACAAGTACTTGTGAACATTCCTTATTTTCCAGTGTTTAATCCTACTTTCCACCAATAATTTAATGTGTATGTCTAACTTGAATCATACCCTGTTTCTGTTTGCTTTTTCTAAACTCTCTCCAGTCTGTAGACTAAAATAATAATCTGGACTCGATCCAGTTCTCTTGGAGGTTGACCAGACTGGTGAGGTAACACCCTTGTCTTCCTGCTTTTGTCAGAGGGTATCACATAGCTGGTCATAGTCAGTGTACAGTCTGTCTGTGACCTACGTCTCTTCTCTCCTGTGTGGCTCTGTTTTAGTCAGGATTTCATCATATTTTAGCTACACAATTCATTTTCCATTGGTAAGTGCACTGCCTTGTACTCATACCTAATAAGTACTCTTGTTTTTGGAGGATAGTTTCTGTTTCTGGTTTGTCGGGGTTACTTGGAATTCTATTATTTTTCAGAAAAGCTAGAAATGTTCACCTAATTTAGAGCCACAAAATTACTGAGCATACTTTCAATTTCATTATGGTGGTGATTAATTTTAAAAATTTAACCATTTTTGTCCCAAGATTCTGGATATTGTTGTAACTCTCCTAGGTTTCATTAAACCATTTATTCCTATCAGTATTAACTCCTGGTTATCCTGCTAAGTAAGTAAAGCCATATTAATATGGCTTTACTTTTTATACTTCATCTTTATACCTTCCTGCTGGATGGTTAAGACCAAGGTAAAGCAAGACCTATATAATAAGAAATGTAATTTTTGTACCCGACAAGGTCAGTGAAATCCCCTCAGGATTTAACCTGAAACCCTGTACTGCAGTTTTTAGATCCTCTGTCAGTGTCAGCCATGTGGATGAGTCACGGCCATTGCTTGACCAGTCTGCTCTCTGTGAAAGCATGAGAGAATGTTTTTCTCTCCAGGTGACTCTCCTTAGGCACACTCTACATCATCGATCACTTTCCTCTGTGGCCCCATTATCTCCTTGAGCAGAAAATTTGGGACATCATTGAGTTACAGGATGTTACAGGATGTTTTTAAGCTCCACAAACAATAGTATCATAGATTTTTCATTGAGTATGGAGATTACTCTTAAGTGACTTAGAGTAATTATATAGGGGTTTATGGTTGGTAGTAATGGAGAGAAGAAATACAATTATTTATTTTTTCATGCATCATTATTTTATAATTTGAGTAGCAAGGTGTCTTGGTTACTCTTATTGCTGAGACAAAATACTCAACACCCAAAGTTAAAGCAGGGGCCGGCTAGCCATTCAAGGTCAGCGAGGACTCAGGGTATAAGATAACCTGTACTGTAACATCCTGTAACTCAGTGATGTCCCAAATTTTCTGCTCAAGGAGATTATGGGGCCACAGAGGAAAGTGATCGACGATGTAGAGTGTGCCTAAGGAGAGTCACATGGAGAGAAAACATTCTCTCAGGCTTTCACAGAGAGCAGATTGGTCAAGCAATGGCCGTGACTCATCCACATGGCTGACGCTGACAAAGGTTCTACAATCTGAGGTACAGGATCTCAGGATAAATCCTGAGGGGATTTGACTGACCTTGTCAGGTACAAAAGTTACATTTCTTGTTATATAGGTCTTGCTTTACCTTAGTCTTAACCATCCAGCAGAAAAGTATAAAGACAAGATATAAAAAGTAAAGCCATATTAATATGCTGAGCTGTAAAGGGCTCAAGTCAACAACTTCTGACACTGCCAGTCCTATGGATAACCCACTACTATTATGGACTACAGGACTATATTGGATTATTTTTCTGAATTCATGCACCTACAATATTTAAATGGCAATGAAATACTCATCTCTGACAAAACTAAACAAAAGGGATACAAATGAAGGACCATTTTGTATCTGTATATACAAAATAGTTAGGATAGATTTATAGCTACTTTCTCTTAATTCAATGAGAAGAAAGATTTGAACTAATAGTGTTTGGACAGGATATCATGCCTGCATCTTGTACTATGAATTACCAATATGAAGACAACAATATGCAATGTATTAATTATTGAAACTGTCCTACTAATTGGTTTTGAAACTGCCTCATTGCTATTTGTTTCTCAATCAAATTAATTTTAAAAAAGGAAAACAGTGAAAATAGGGAGATACTCTTAAAAAAAATAAAGCAGGTGGGGGCTGGTGAGATGGCTCAGTGGTCTAAAGCACCTACTTAAAACAAGCTTGGCAAAGCACAGGGACTGCGGTTCAATCCCCCAGCACCACATGCCAGCCAGACCCGCCCCCAGGTGGGCTGAGCTGCCCCCCAATAAATAAATAAAATTTAAAAAAAAAGTAAAGCAGGTGCCAGCCAAATAGCTCAGTGGACTAAAGCACCTGCTTAGGCAGAGCACAGCAGCTAGGGTTTGATCCCTGGAATGCAGTGCCAGCCCCCCACTCCAGGGGTGCTGAGACAGCAATTGAGACTGGGCGTGGTGGCACATGCCTGTAATCCCAGCACTTGGGAGGCTGAAAACAGAAAAATCACTATGAGTCCAATCTACATAGTGAGACTGTAGACTCTGTACTAAAATACATAAAAAAAATATTCAAAGTTAAAGGAGGAAAGGTTTATTTGACTCAGTGTATAGAGGTTTCAATCCATAACTGACTGGCTCCAAGGCAGGGTGGCATGGCAGAGGGTTATCACAGAAGAGTAACAAGGCTGGAAGAAAACAGCAAGTAGCAAGCTGTGGCAGAGGCAGGAGCAACAACAGCAGCAAGTCCTCTATCTATCACTTGTCTGCCCTCCAGGTTACTCATCCAAGGGATAGATAGCACTTATCCAGGGTGGTACACCCGCAAGCCCAGTGTCGTGCTCCCTAGATCCAGCCATCCTGGAAAAGCCCCACCTATAACCACATGAGGCTTGTGGCGGGGGGAGTCGAACAACACAAGGTGAGAGAGAATAGGAAAGCTTTTAGATTGAGTATAGTTACATCTTAGTTATTTTTCTGTGATATACTTTGAAGATGGCTTTTTTTTTTTACTTAAACCTAGTATTATGTAATATACAAACATAATCAGATATACTTTTTATTATTGTCATTACAGATTTTGGAAAGTGATCATGAAGAGTGAAGAAGACCTATTTCTGATACTTGAAAGTTAGTCACTGCTTACCACCTTTTCATGAAAATTAAATATGACTTAGAAGCTTTGAAAGTTTATGATGTCATCGGTTTCGACAGAAAGCAAACTCCAGCAGGCTGTGAGCCTGCAGGGAGTTGACCCAGAAACATGCATGATTGTATTTAAAAACCACTGGGCACAGGTAAAGTATGACTGCACTGTGGCTCCACTGGTCTCAGTAGCCCCAGGGGTCTCTCTCATGTGGAACAACTGGCTTTCAAGAACCTTTGGTAGGGAACTCTTGCCAATAAGCAGAAAAGCAATATTTTTTGCTGTGGTTTTCTATAATAGGTATCTGGTGAGAAATTGTGGCTTCACAAATGAAATTATGGAACACGCATGTCCTTTAGGTATTTTTAGGAGAATAGTTGTCCTTTAAAGTGACTTTTACATCATTCTGCAATGTACTTGACCATAATTGCATTCTTTCCATTATTTTCTGCTGATTTTCACCTAGTTCTTAAGCTCTAATAACACTAAAATACTATATATTTATTAAGCATTTATCAAGTACTATATTGAGTGCTCACGTGTTTTATATCATTTAATCTCCACAATCTAAATGATAGTATTAATGTCCTCATCTTACAGATGGAGAAATGGGAAATTAAAGACATTAAGTAACTTGCTTGAGGTTCTACAACTAGTGAATTACCAAGCCAGCACATACTCTGACACCGGGGCATGTGTGTCTGACCTCAGTGTTCTGCCATTTTTGGGCTGACAATCTCTGCAATTTAAGGAAAGAAAATGCTTGGCTGTACTCGAACACTTATCTTCTTCATTTCAAAGCTTATTGCAAACTTTTTTGGTTATTCATTTTGACTTCTCTGTTCCTCTTCTCTGATCTGCTAGTCTGGATAATTAAGGGTTGAATGTTCAGAAAATGTACCAGCCTGCCCCATTCCTCAGGGAGTGTGCAGGTAGTAAAATAAACAAAATTACCATTCTTTACTACTTGTCCCACATTACATTCCCCAGGTGAGCTGGTAAGTGACTATTTATGTGACAGGTTTTTTAATGACTACCCAGTTCCTTCCTGTAGCTGGAAGCAACACATGGGTTAAAGCACTGAGCCTGTAAATCACAGCAATTATAGGGGATGTGGTTTAGATCACAAAGGAACAAAACCAATTGCGCCTCTGGGTTGTTCTCACTCTATAGCTGCTTGTCACTGTCCGGTTTAAAGCTTCCAGGATTTTTTGTGCACTTCCCATTCTCTGATTTTTTACTGTTAGAATCGTAATGGATTTGCTATGCACATCTGCTTTAGTAAAGTGAATAAAGTAATTCAGGAGTTTTTCCAGGTAATTAGAGTAATTATCTTTAGCTTTGCCCTTTAAGCATCTAGAAGCAAAGGCCTGAAAGTAAGGTAGTGAACTGGAAGGGATGTGCCTAGTGCCTTTTGGTTATGGGAAGGCTTGCTTCTATCTTTGCTTATTAAAATGTTCTATTTTGTGATTATAGTGTATATATAATACTGTATAATAATAGTGCATATGTTTATGAATTTATTTTTTATCAGCAATTTTAATCAGGAATGTATAGTCAGCTTGAGAGCATTCCATCTAATGATGAGCTATACCATTCTAATACATAATGTTTGCTTGAGGGTCCTATTTTGCTTATTTGTTTATATATGATACTTTAATTATAGTCATTCCTTCTGGTGTGATTGTAATGTGATTTAGTTGGTATTCTGTACCACCCTTAAAACATGACACCAGATGTGGTACCGTGTTTCTGTAATCTCAGCTCTCAAGACTTGGCAGAGGCAGGAGAATCACCCTGAGCTTGAGGCTATCCTCGTAGTGAATGCAAGGCCAGCTTGAAATACATAGCAAGATCTTGTCCTAAAAAAAAAAAAAAAAAAAAAAGACAACACAGATCATCTGTCCTGGCAAATTCTGTTGCTGGCAAGCTTTTGCCACAGCTGCTGGAGTGCTTCAGAATGTCCTAATCCAGGTACAAGTCAGTATTCCTGCATATTGATGGAGCATAAGCAGTGTCCCAGCGTCGTATTATTCATTTCCATATCCATGATTTCAGCACTTTCAGATACTTCAGATCATTTGAAGCATGGAGTTGATACCTAGCACCCTCATTTTCAAGGAGAAAAATTTGTGTTGATTATAAGAACACCTTTTTCAGAGAGAGTATTGTGTAGTCATCACATGTTTTCTGTTGTTAGGAAGGGGCCTGTCTTAGTTACATTTCTCATTGCTGAGATAAAATCCTTGATACCCAAAGTGAAAGGAGCAGAGGTTTATTTCAGCTCATGGAATGCAGTGGTTTTTAGTCCATAGTCAGCTGGCTCCAAGGCAGGGTGGCATGGCAGGGGGCATCACAGAAGAGAAGCAGTTCATGGCAGACACAACCCATCAAGTGAAGCAAAAGCTCTCTCTTGTCCCTTGTATTCGTTCTAGGCTACTCGCCCTAAAGATGGGTAACATTTACAACCAGAGCGGGATACTCTTAATCTTGGTGTGCACCATGAATCAATCCCTGCCTCACATTTGTAATCCCAGCATCACACACTCACTGTAGATCCTGCCCCCTCTGAAAAATGCCAGTTATGATTGTGTGAGGCTTTGGGGGTCACCTAGACAAAAGCCATAATAGGGCTGGTCTTAATTTTGACTCAGCCACTTCTTTAGCTTTGAGTATTTCCCCCACCCCACTGCTGCCTTTCTTCTTTTCTTTCCTTTATCTTCAGTCTTGATTTTTTCTTTTAAATAAATTTGCATGCCCTTAGTCTCTGTCATCAGAGGCTTTGAAGGATTTTCTGTACCTTTATGAAAGAAAATACTGGTTGAGATGTTCAACCAGTCTGTGAGTGTCCAAGTGGCTGTTGTCCACTAGAGATTTATGTGGCCCACACTACAGGTGTATCATTATCAGCATTCCAGGTAGAGCCCAGGGAGGCATGAACTTTGGGCCTTAAAGAGTGAATAAGCTAATGTGGATGACATGCAGGAAATATTATTGCAAAGAGAAAAAAGTTTATAAGAATTAAAAACAGAGGCTGTGTTGGATGACAGTGGCTGGGAAAATGGAGAAAGTAACAATTATAGAAAGAATATTTTATAGAAAAGATGGCCTTTTTCTTTGTTTGGATTTTAAAAAAAGGTAAGGAAGATACAAAAGTAGAGCAGGGCAGAGATGTAGCGCCGGGTGTGCGGCTGAGAGGGCCAACAGGAACGAATGCTGGTATTCGTCTTTTCAGAGCTTCATGAATTAGCTCTTTGCTGTCTGGGTGTTATTCAGGCTGGGGGTGGATGCAGAGTAGTCAGAGAGAGTGGAGCAGGGAGCTAAAATTTGACCTAAACTCCTAGCTGCTGAGATGGCAACCCCTGGCTCCCCTGTGGCAAACCAAGAGCACCCATGTATGGAAGATGGCATGGGAAAAATGGAATGACAGTATTTTATTTACTAAAGCATTCTGTCACCCGCCTGATATGGCGCTTTTATATACAGTGCTGGGAAAAGGACGGCAGCAGAGGGCGGTGATATCCAGGACTGTTCTCCATTAGGGAACTTTAGTCCAAACTTAATAGAACTAACACATAATCAGCTGATTCTACTCTGGTATTTATTAGTAATTTTTACTCCAGAACTTAAGGAGTGTACCTGAGTGGAGGAGGGTATCTGCTTGGATCTTGTGAAATGTCAAGCAGCTCGTTGTATCACCTACTGTTATTCAAGGCACTCTGTGATCTAGAGACCTCGAGTTGTCCAGTGATGGTGCACTGCATTTCCATACTGTTCCCAGAGTCCAGTGATCTGTGATCAGCCCCAGAACACTGTAGTTGTGGAGTTGACACTTGGGAATAGTTGAATTCCCAATAGTGAACCTGGATAGCATAGGTTTAGGAAGTATAGCTTCTGGTTGGTACTCTCTGTCACATTCTGGATGGTGGTTTTATAGCTTTAGTTGCCAGAGCAATAAACTTAGAACACAGATTCATCTGGATTATTCCTGTAGCCAGACCATTCAGTAGCATCTGGAAGGATAGCAGCATGGGTTTTTTTTGTTTTGTTACTCCCTGACTTTTACTTAGTCTCCAGAAATGTGAAATTGCTCAGAGTTCTCAACTGCTCTCACCCCAGGAAAATGTCTGTTATTCTTTTTTTTTTGTACATGGGCTCAAACTCAAGACCTTGCACTTGCTATGCAGGTGCCTAAGCCACTGAGCTGTCTTCCTAGTCCCCATCATTTCGTTTTGTGCCTTTGCACCTTTGGCATTTGTACTTCTTTCTTCCTAGAATATTCCTTTCTCTAGCAAAGTGTCTCTACCTTCAAGGGTCCTTTGGGAAATCGTTTACTCCCAGTAATTTTCCTTGTTTTCTTTCATGTGCTGCATGATCCTGCTTTTTCTTTCACTATCGTTTACTCCCAGTAATTTTCCTTGTTTTCTTTCATGTGCCTCATGATCCTGCTTTTTCTTTCACTGTTCTAACTATTGTCTTCAGTGGCAAATACATGTGATTTATCTTCTTCCCAACTTCATTGCAAGTTTCTTCAGACCAGAGACCCCTTGTAGTTGACTCCTAGTGCCCAGCACAGAGCATGCCACATTGTAGATGTTCAGTGAACTGTTGAACTAAACAGGCAGGAAGTAGGAAATAATACTTTAGAAAACTGAGACAACTTTGAATGCACAGTGATTTTAAAACATTGTATAAATTGCTTTCATTAATGCATGCAGTGATCAGAAAGAATGTGCGTGCAGTTTTTTTCTGTGCTTGGGATTGAACCTAGGGCTTTTGCCTTGATCTAAATCCCCAGCTCATTTAGTTATTTATGAACTTTGAAAAGGGGTTTTCCTAGAACTTGAATTTGTGATCCTTTTGCCTGAGCCTCCCAAGGGCTGGGATTCCAGATGTGTGTCCCGTTCCTGACCTGTGCATAGCGTTGTTTTTTTGTTTTGTTTTTTGTGGCCAGCTCAGTCTGCCTTGAGGGTAGGACTGGTGCTGCATGTGGTGCTGGGGATTGAACTTCGGTTCCTGCACTTCCTAAGCTTTCCTAAGCAGGCACTTTAGTCCATTAAGCTATCTCGCCAGCCCCAGTTTTTATAGTCATCTGTAAGAACAGTTTATAATAGAAGATGTTCTTATCACTTACTTTTTGTCTTTGTGTTT